GGAAATGGAAATTACTCAGGGCTTAGCCCTGAATAAGGGTAGTCTAGACCTATTACCAAAATGAAACTAAATCACATGCAGCTCTTAGGAAGGAATTTATCTTGTAAATGCTGAAACGTCTGACTGATTAATTTAATGTGAACTTGTGGTCAGGCTATGGGCATTCAATTATTTAAATAGTCTTAACAAGCTGTAAAATAGGTTTTAAACAACCCCCAAACTCTAGCTACAAGGACCGTGGAGAAATTCATCATCAAATTTATGTTTTCTTGGAGCATCTGTAGAAAAAAATCACCAGAAACCATTACTTCATATATACATATAGTATATGTCAAAAGTCATTGTGTGTTCACTCTAGTGAACTTTATTGTGTGAACATATACCGTATATACTCGAGTATAAGCCGAGTTTTTCAGCACATTTTTTGTGCTGAAAAAAACGGCCTCGAGTCAACGTCTGCGAGGCTCCGTCAAGGGGGGCGCGTACAGAGGGCTGCTGTCTCTTACCTGGCTCCCACGATGATCCATCCAGGAAGCGCTGCTCCTTCCGTCACTCCGGCCATTCCCTCACTCCTGCCGCTCGGCTTCGCCTCCTCACCGGTGATTGGCCGCCAGAACTGTAGCTCAAGAAAGGTACACAGGCGGCCAATCACAGGCGAGGAGGCGGAGCCGAGCGGACCCGCGAAAATCGAGTGAGGGAAAAGCCGGTAAGTGTGCAGTGCAGAGGTGCTGCTGCAACCACATATGCTGGCTGCAGCAGCACCATACTGCAACAGGGGTCAGCAAGTGTCATTGGTGTCAGTGGGAGGAATAGTGCCGCATCATTGGTGTCACTGATACTAATGATGGGGCATTATTCCTCCCACTGACACCAACGATGGGGCACTATTCCTCCCACTGACACCAATGATGGGGCACTATTCCTCCCACTGACACCAATGATGGGGCATTATTCCTCCCACTGATACCAACGATGGGGCACTATTCCTCCCACTGATACCCCACTGACACCAATGATGGGGCACTATTCCTCCTACTGATACCAATGATGAGGCATTATTCCTCCCACTGACACCAACGATGGGGCACTATTCCCACTCACCATGATGGGGGTACCAACGATGGGGCACTATTCCTCCCACTGACACCAATGATGGGGCACTATTTCCTACCCCACTGACTACCAATGATGGGGCACTATTCCTCCCACTGATACCAATGATGGGGCACTATTCCTCCCACTGATACCAATGATGGGGCACTATTCCTCCCACTGACACCAATGATGGGGCACTATTCCTCCCACTGACACCAATGATGGGGCACTATTCCTCCCACTGATACTAATGATGGGGCTTATACTCGAGTCAATAGTTTTTCCCAGTTTTTTGTGGTAAAATTAGGTACCTCGGCTTATATTCGGGTCGGCTTATACTCGAGTATTTACGGTATAGTCTCATGTATAGTTCCTTCATAAACTAATGTACAAGGAGTAATGAGCAAAACAAACATTTTTTTTCCTACAATGTAACTCAGCTAAACAAGCATAGAGGCAGAAAAAAAAACTTTGTGTACAGTAGATTGTTACCTTTTCATACCAACCTGGGAACCAGAAAAACAAGGCTGTCAAGTGAAACAAGAACTCAGTTCTTCCAGGTGAGAAAAGCTGCACACACAGCATTTCCAAGGATACAGTGGGAACAAAGCATATGGACTGTGGTGGTGATGCCTGCCTTGTTCTATTACAAATAACTAAAGCTGATACTAGCATTGTTTACTGAACATTAGTACTTTGGTATATTACATTTTATTTGTAAAAGAACCCTTAGACTTGGGATAAAAGTCATATAACAGAAACAACTGTTCAGTTGCCAGAAAATGCATGCTTTAAGGCTTCATGCACATGGGACATTTTTAAACACCACTTTTAGAGGCTTTTTGCAGGTTTGTTTCTACCTCTTAATGCCCCTCAATGTTAGCCTATGGGGTTTATTTGCCAAAGTTGGAGAGTGCAAATCTGGTGCACTGCTGCACAGAAATCAGTTAGCTGCCAAATTTGATTGCCAAAGCTTTTTTGAACTAGCTGCAGTTAGAAGCTGATTGGCTTCCATGCACAGCTGCATCAGATTCTTAGCGCTGCAGTTTTAGTAAATCTACCCTATGTGTCCATGTACACATAGGAGTTTTAGAGGGAGAGGCATTTAAAGGCAGAAAAAAGCGTTCAGGAGAGGAGCGTTCCAGCATCAAAAAAACTTGATGCGCCTGGACGTCTACACACACTTTATCGCTAGTTACTTCAAGTGCTTGGACGTTCATTAATTCTAATGGAATGAATGCCCAAGAGTATCACGCACCTAAATGCATTTGCAAAATGTGGCTTTATGCGTGTTTTTGACATTGCCTGGATGCCTATGCTTCAGGGGAGGAAAAAAGGTCCTGTATGCATTGGGTCTAAAGGGCACCTGTCATGTAGAGCCTTCCTTCTGAGAATGCTAGTTGCTTGGCTTTCATACTGATAATTTGGCTTCATTATTTTCTGAGTCACTCATCACTCTTCCAGAACAATTATATTAATAAGAGGCATCCCTCTCCGATTGTAGAACCGTAGAAAAATAGAGGCCTGAAAAGTAATAGGTATCGCCTGAAGTACACAGTTTGCCCAATAACCAAAAGACCTGCAGCAAAAAAAAAACGTGAAGAGGGAAAGGAGGTAAACCCATGCAATTTGGACAGGAATCGGACCGCATTCCTGTTCAAATTGCATACTATTCTTTGCAGTGCAATTTGAGCCCATTCATTTTGGATGGGCTCAAAACGCACCGTAAGGTATCGGTAATTGGTATCGGCGAGTAGTTAAGTACAAGTATCGATACTCGTACTCACCGATAAAAAACAGGTATCGGTGCATCCCTGCAGCAGAAAAAACGTGAAAAGAGGTTCACAAAGAAAAGCAGTTACATGAAGGACAAATGTGATACTCAAATATTAATCAGAGATATGCTTTATTGGCAAAATTGAACATAGAAGACAATTGAGTCAAGGCTGCAAGTAGCCGTCTTAATAATGGACAATATACAAGACAACCTTAAAATACAAAATAAAAAAGAAAGACATCATGGCAGACCACAAGTGGTGCTATGCTATAGGGGCAACGACTCACAGGTCTTTTGCATCAATAACAAAGGCACATTGGGGTACACCACCACAGTGGAGAAATATATATGAGATGAAAACATGTGCAGCAGGCTATACATCAATCATATGTCCCATCAGTCATCTTTTGATATTACTCTGCATGTATGATGTATATCATAGCTGGTCTATTCCAGCTCCTTAGCATTGTCTAATTGGCTCCTATTTCCAACAATCTTGGAGTTTCACATGACTATATGATTGATGTATAGCCTGCTGCACATGTTTTCATCTCATATATATTTCCCCACTGTGGTGGTGTACCCCGATGTGCCTTTGCTATTGATGCAAAAGATCTGTGATTCATTGCCCCTATAGCATAGCACCACTTGTGGCCTGCCATGATGTCTCTCTTTTTTTATTTTTTATCTTAAGATTGCCTTGTATATTGTCATTATTGAGGTGATGGCTACTTGCAGCCTTGACTCAATTGTTTTCCATGTGCAATTTTGCCAAAAAGCATATCTCTGATTAATATTTGAGTATCACATTTGTCCTTCATGTAACTGCTTTTCTTTGTGAACCTCTTTTCACGTTTTTTTTTTTGCTGCAGGGATGCACCGATACCTGTTTTTTATCGGTGAGTACGAGTACCGATACTTGTACTTAAGTACTCGCTGATACCAATTACCGATACCTTTGCGGTGTGAAAAATGAATGGGCTCAAATTGCACTGCAAAGAATAGTATGCAATTTGAACAGGAATGCGGTCCAATTCCTGTCCAAATTGCATGTGGTTTCCCTCACCACTCCTGTGTGGACCCAGGATGAAATCACTATGACAAGCCTGGGTTTACACAGGAGCTGTGCAGGAAACTGCATGCGATTCGGACAGGAGTTGCACTGCATTCCTGTTCAAATCACATGCTATTCTTTGCAGTGTGATTTGAGCCCATTCATTTTCTATGGGGTCAAATTGCATCATAAAGGTACCTGTTTTAGGTATAGGCACATTTGCCCGAGTACATGTACTTATGCAAATGCTTATTATCGGCACCAATACCGGTATCAGTACAACCGTAATTGTTAAGAAAATCTAGCTTTATTTGGCTTTCATTTCCTATATGCTTGATTCAGATCTCGAAATAAAAAGTATTAAAGTATTCTATAAGGAGGCTGGAAATGCCAGCATCCAAATTTAAGGTTCATGGGTAATAAAATTGATGCCAACAGTATTGCCTATTTTTTAAACGTATGTGGATGACTGTGAAGTCCTTATAATAAATGAGTGAATGGATAAAAAAATGAATAGTTGCTGAAAATGATTAGTTAATAAAGTATAAAACAAATCCATTTTTCTGGACATGTGCAATCACAGTAACAGCATTTGTCTAGAGAAAAGTTTTGCTTGTGTCCAGGAACTATAATCAGAATGGAATGGAGCTTCCACGCTTGAGAGTAAAATCTATGCTGACAAGATCATCTGAAAGCTTGTCAGGCGCTCAGGGTGTGCTTTGGCGTGCCAGTGTAAACACTTTGTAGGCCCTGGAAAATGCTTTTGTTGGAATTACTCGGAGTACTCCTGCTTCCCATTCAAAACTGCCGAGTGAGTGACTGGTCAATTTATGCCAGGACAAAGTCAGCTAATGTACTGCAGGAAAAGGACTGTCCAGGCTGCAGCATGAATACAACCCAAAAAATAATGCATCAAGCGCTCATATTCTGTGAAAATGTGCCCCAGCTGTAAAAATAAAACCCGTCAAGGAACATAGATAAAGAATATCTCAGATATTAAAGATGAAATCCAGACATATATTAAAAAATAAGAATATTTAGTGCGGTTGTGTATGCTTTAAAGTGTTACTAAACCCAGGACCCTGCATTCACTATATCTGGTCTCCCACAGTACACACAACATGGACATGCAATTATTTTAGTAAATATAAACTGCTAAATACCTTTTCTCTTCAGCAGTTCGAGCAGCCTTGTGACTTCTATCAGTGTTCAGCAGAGCACTGGTTAAAGCTTGTAAGCGTAGTTTTATTTCTGCTCCAGGATGCAGAACGCCTGACCTCTGTCTGGACAGTGCTGATTGGGACCTGCAGCTCGTTGACGCTGTCCACGTCAATGCGTTTCTCCCGTGTGACCATGAAATATGTCAGAACAAGATGTACACAGTGAGTATAACAAGCATACTTTACTGCATATACAGACTGATTTTACTGTCGTGGGTTTAGTAACACCTTAAAGCTGAACTCTAGCTGTACATGTAAAAGGTTTATTTGAGAAATGGCATGTAAGCTATAGATTAAGGATCAAAAGCACAGCACAGGACAGGAAATGCAGGGAAATTCAACCCAGAACAAAATTCCTGGAATTCATCACATACTTTACCCTTCCATTTCGCCTGACCAATGCTCCATGTGGAACAGTAGCCAGCATAGGCTTGTTTGTGGCTCCCTCTTTTTTTATACGGTTTACTTGTGTTTATTTTTCAAGTGAATCTGCTACACATGCAGCAAAATCACAATGTTGTAAAGGATATTGAAAGAACATAGAAATTGCTCTTTTTATTAATGTTGCCATTGCTAAGTAATTAAAAGAGGAGATGAAGGCCTCATGCACACTGGACATTATAAAAACACCAGTAATGTTAGCTGTAACATGCCTCGTTAAAACGTGAGTTTTGTAAAGTTTTATAGCATTTATGCATTAGCGTTTTTTTAGCGTTTGTAGTTTTTAGCTTTTCTTAGCAAAACTATACTCCCACAAAAGCTTGAGGCTCAAAAACGCTCATAAATGCCGGATAGCCGTGTTTTTCAGCAGTTTTCAGCGTCAGAACATTTTTACAGCTGAAAAACTCATAATCAAATGCAGTAGTTCTGGATTTTTTTTTCCAGCCTGAAAACACCCCTGCCAATAAATGCTGATAAAAGCCTATGTGTGCATGGGCACATAGGATAACTTGCTGGGGAGTTTACTGGCTGTAGAAAAAAATGCCTGATGCCCAAAACTGCAGCTGTAAAAACGCCCAGTGTGCATGAGGCCCTCAACTTTAAAGCTCAAAATTTATATCAGAAAACTGCATTAGGTATGGGGCAGTTGTTCCTGTATTCAGCATGGACTGCACACAATTATTCAAACTGGCCATGCACAATTCATTAGTATTACATGTCACCCATAATCCAAACACTGAATTCAGCAACATATTTGTTTGTTTACTACTTAAGCTTCTAAAGATTTTACCCCCTTCATGACCAGGCCATTTTTTGCTATTCAACACTGCCTTATATAACTGGCAATTGCACATTCATGCAACGCTGTACCAAAATGAAATTTATATAATTTTTTCCAAACAAATAGAGCTTTCTTTGGTGGTATTTGATCACCACTGAGTTTTTTATTTTTTATTTCCTAAATGAAAAAAGACCAAAATGCTTAAAAAAAATCAAAACAATATTTTTTACTTTCTGCTATAAAAAATAGCCAATAAAACAATTTAAAAAAATCTAATTTCTTCATAAATTTAGGCCAAAATGTATTCTGCTACATGTCTTTGAAAAAAAAATCACAAAAGGCATATATTAGTTGGTTTGGTTTAAAGTTATAGCGTATACAAATTATGGTATATACTGTATACTGGCAATGGCAGTGATCAGCAACTTATAGTGGGACTGTGATAGTGCAGCGGGCAATCTGACACTAACTGACACTTTGTGGAAACTGGCTAACACTGATATCCCCAGTGACACTAGTGCCTAACAAGTGTTAATGTGTGTAATGTGTGCGGCTTTTTACTTAAGATCGTTTTGATTTTCTGCCTGCTTTGCAGGCAGAAGAAACACATAGATTGTTCCCTCTGTTCAGAGCCCTGTGTTGTTTGTCAAACAACACAGGGCTCTGGGCTGTGATTGGATACAGCTGATCAGCAGGTCCTGGCTCTGAATCATTGGCCGGGACCTGCTAACTAAGTCCAGCTTTGTTCAATCACAGCAGATCCTGCGGGCAGGGGCACGCACTTGCCCTGACCCAGGCAAAAGTCAAGACATACAGGTAAGTTACTGTGCCTGTACAAGCTGCCTGTCCGCAGTATATTTACTGTGGTGGGATGGCAAGCATTTAAAAAAGTGAATGGCTACATTATTTAAAGTGGAAGAAAGGACTAACTATATGTAGCACTGCCCCCTTAGGAATCGCTGAGTTTTGGGTCCCCTTATGGTCCTGCGCAGCCAGGCAACACGCCTTTTCTTCAGACCTTGCACACTGGAGACAGTAAACGGTCATTGAGCTTGTTTTTTTAGTTTTATTAAGGGATATTGAACTTGGATGGGATTGAGGGGTGTATGGGATGCCCCAGGAACTGTGAACATGAGGACAGATCTCCTTAGCAAATATGTACAACTCCATAGACAAACAGTTTCTTCTTGAAGAGCGTTCCAGCCTTCTGGTGTATCACCTCAGACCCCAGATGAAATCTCCCCTTCACCCAGCTGCCTGAGGGCATCCCTGAGCAAAGGGACCCAGAATCTGCCACTGTAGTAGAGCAGCCCCAGATGAGGTGCTAGTTGGGTTCTCCATCTGATTGCCCTCTCCCCTTATCTGGGCCAGGGGGTGCAGTATTACTCACTCAGTCCCCTCCTGGAAGCTTGTTGGGTTGGTGGCTGCCTTCAGGCCTTACGCTGGGCTGGCTTCTTCCCTGCTACCCAGGCTATCCTCTCTCAGGGGACAGTTGAGGCTAAGAGATCCTTCTTCCAAGATCCTGCCTGCAGGTGGGCCCCTCCCTGGGCCCCCTTCCCAGGCTCCACACTTCAGCCTTCTCACACTCCTAGATTGTAAGCTCCAAGGAGCAGGGCCCTCCTATCCCTCTTGTATGTGTCTCCCTTTATATTGTAAAGTGCTGAGCAAACTGTTGGCGCTATATAAATCCTGTATAATAATAATAATCATCTTCCACTGGACACTGACCACTTCCTGGTCAGAATTTCTCATACTTAAGAGCTGTGTTGACCCCATGCCAAGCTTCCTGCTTGGGGGATTGGTCAAAATTCCTTGAGTATGCAAATCAGCCCCTCCTCACCCCCACCCACTGCTTTCTAGAAACTTCTCAAGCTTCTAGAGCAGGGGAAGGTGTCAGGGAACTGACTTGCAGAGCTCTCAGCCCTGACCCAGAGTAACCTGGCTGACTCATCCCAGTCTCTAACTGAAAAACCTAGCTAGCTCTCCCTGGCTAACTAGAGGAGCACTACATTTATCTATTCCTAAAAATGTTCCCTCACCCCTCCTCCAATCTATTCTATATAACCTGTATAAAAAAGGATCTGTACACTTACCTATTTTAATCTGCTTCTCCCTGGTCATGTGATCCCCCCTATATCAGTGAGGGCCGGCTGCAGGGGAGAAGAGGGAATGCTGACAACAGCTGGGCTATGGGAGGCTATGGGTGATGTCATGGCTTCCAGAATTCCCAAGCATTGTCACCTGCAGAGCTGCAGGATCATGTGACCAGAGCAGATTGAAAATAGGTACACAGGTCTTTTTTATACAGGTTAGGTGGGATAGGTAGGAGATACGGGGAAGGAACATTTTTGAGAATAGTTATAGTTAGGGTTTTCCTCCAACCGGATCAAAAAAGGTGATTATTTAATTGACTTTTTTTAAGGAGCCAAGTACAAAATTGTCGTCTAAACAGCACTTGCATACAGTCAGAATCAGGCACTGTCCGGATAATATGACAGCAGCGCAGGCTGTCATAACACTAAAGACCGCAGTACGAGATTTGTCCATTTAGATTAGATCAGGCTTTCTCAACCAGTGTTCCTCTAGAAGTTGCTAGGTGTTCCTTGAGCAATTTCCGCCTTTTAGATAGATTCCCACTGACACCATAGATCTTTTTTAGCTATCTGTAAGGGGCTAATTCTTCCCAAAGAGCACATGTGTAAGGAACATTCTTCCAATTGACCATCACACTAATGTATCATGTGTTGTAGATATAGTCATTTTTAGCAGGGGTTTCCTGAAATTGGAAAATTATTTAAAGGGTGTGTCAAATGTTGAGAAAGCCTGGCATAGACGGAGGAATCTGTTAGGTTGTACAGGCTGTACAGAAACATCTATTGATATATGACCAGCTTTATACTGTACACACAAGGGTCAAATTTCAGCCAATTCCTGCTGAATTGGCTAAATTTTAAACAATGGGTGGCCCTGTTGACGTCATACGTCAGATACGTCACTTCCGGTCATGCGCACTAGGTGGAACGCACGCTGACCTACAAGGAGGAAGCCATCTTCACATGCCACAAGGCAGGCTTAAGCAGCACAGGCGCCGAGAAGAGGCTGGAACCCGCGGTATATCGGCTGATGTCAGCGGTTGTTCCCTGGCCTCTCTGGCCTTGTAAGGCAGTACCTATGAAGGACATCTTTTCCTCTCCCATTATCCATTGCGCAGGTGATGAGTGGACTGTTACAGGACACTAGTTATATGGTCCTCTGTGATCGATATAACCTTTACATCTCATATAGAGTAAAAGCTCTTCCAGTGACTTTCCACATATTGTTTGTTTCACTACAGGATGGGGACATCATGGTGCTTTTCATAGGAAACAGGATATACCACGTGCATCTCAACAGGCAGAAGATTTATTGGGATTTGTCTTGTTTTCCTTACAGATAGTGGTGTGTAGTCCACATATAGTGGTGAAGAAACCATTTCAAGCAGTGCTCTGCTATTTGCATCTATCCTTCCATCCTGGTAACAAATGGGGCTTATTCACATTTAAGAGCTCTAAGGTAATAGTCGCTTATATTACAGATGAATGGGCCCCAACCACATGTGCCGGCATAGGAGTGTACTGCATTTTATATATGACATTCATTTTTTGTCTCTTACAAGCCTAGAGGCATGTTTCTCTTTTTGACGCATACTGTGCTTGCTGCACTGCATACATGTGATAATTTATATCTATAGTATAATGTTTTGACACTCCCAGCTTGGGATATAACCATTTTGGTAGTAGCATATGTCTACA